CCTCCTGCTCCACAGTGCTGCCTGCTGGGATAGGCTGGGTTTGGATAGCTGGGAGCGTTGTTAGAGCCATTCTCTGAAGAGCCTTCTGCTGTGAGCTGACCTCGCCTCATTTATTTTGAGTTGTGCAACATTTTTGCCTCTTTGTCAGCGATGTGGCACCTATCTAGACCAATGTATTTTGTGATAAATGTGGTAATTGACTCAGGAAAAGGGAGTGGAATGCTGTCTTGGACCTTGTTGGGGATAGGAAGCAGCTGGAGGGCTCAGAGCAGGGTCATTCCTCATCTGACACAAATTTCCCTGTCTTGCTGGTAGTGGGAGATGTCCAGTTTTCAGCTGAGTTCAGCAGCCTGAGCTCTGGGCCTCTTTCCACACAAGGGATAAAGAAAGTGCAAGTGTCCTCGCATTTAATGAATCAGTAGGTTCTCTCTCAGCCAGAATGCACAGGGCAGGAGAGGAGGGGATAAGTCAGAGATCTGGTTCCTCTGCCTCAAGGGATTAGAGGTCAAGCTGGGAAGTCCCAGCAGTGCCTTAGGAAACATCATTTTCTACTCAGATAGCTTTGGTTGGAATTTCTGTCCCTCCAGCTGAAGGAGGGACTCACAGGAGTCAGGATTCAAACTTGGGACACCCTTGGAGGCCTGAATTTGTGAGGGTGCTGGGAGCCTGAACTCAGTGACCTGCATTTGGGGTGGATTTCATACCTGAATTGGAGACAGCTGACAGGGCCTGCATGCAGGTGGCCACCGAATTCACGGCAGCACTCAAGATGGCCTTTGGAGCCTGCTGCTGGCTTGCCCATTCGGTGGCCTATGGAGACGGTGCAATCTTTCTGACTTTGGTTTGTTTCGTAATGCTGGCTTGCACAGACAGCTTCCTGGCCCGCCTTCCCTGCTTAAATAGTGCACCTGAACCAATCAGAGATCTTGGGGGGTGCTGCTGTGGGTGATATTTTCTGTGGTGATTAGTCTTCCAGGATCTATAATGTGTTGATCTCAGCTCTGCTTTATCCGGTGAGTAGTGGCATGGAAGCATCACTCACTTGGAGCCCACCAGGCCTGGGTACTGCACCCGCACATCCTCACATGTTCATAAAAATACTCTACATTATTGCCCTGGCAGGGCAGTTTACTGCTGCTACAGAATTCAGTGG